TATGGTTATATTGATCAACCTGAACGTTTATTTAATGAAATAAATATGGCAACAAATTTTACACAATTAAATCTCTATTTAGATAATTTATTAAAAATGACTGAAATTATGACAAATGAAGTTAATAAACATAATATTGTTATAACGAAAATTGAAACACAAGCTATGCAAAGTGGAGATCTTCTAACGGATTATACATTACTTGGTCATCATATATTAGGTTCTTCACCAACACAACATCAAACATTAACAAATATAAATACAATGACACCGAATTTAAATCCATTAACGATGGCAAATGGACAAAAAGTTCTTTTAAATGCTGTTCTTTAATTTTTTATAACGAAATAATAAATAATCTTTTTTATTTTTTCTATGATTTATATTATTTTTATTTTTCAGATATAAAATGACATCAGAATATTATTTTTATGATCAATTTTCCCAAGGATCTCATATCGGTGGTGTTCATCGATCTAGACGAGATTTTAAAGATTTAAATCAAGCTTTGTATCAATCGAGAATAGCTTCAGCTGTCGAAGATTATGAGACAAATAAATCAGAAATTCTAACACCTAATGCACTTAAAAAACAAACTAGTAATATAGTAGATCCACCAATTATACCCGAATTATTAACTAAAGAATTAGATACATATTTAAATATATTTAATAATAAATCAAAAAAAAATTCAATATCGAATTCATCAAAATTAATAAAAGACAATGAATTAAACAATTCAACATCAATTCTACCAAAAATATCTTTACCTAGTTCATTAATTGTTGGTTTACATTCAACATGGTCTGATTTAATTAAAAATACCGAATATAAATATAAAGTAAATTCATATTTCTTTTATTAAAAATCTTCTTTTTTACTTTCTCTATGTAAAGACATGGCGAACTAAAACAGGTGAAGATCATTGGCATCAATATATTAAACAGAAAAATTCCGAACAAATCAAATCTGAAAAACAACAAGATAATAAAACAATAATTCATCGTCGAAGAAATTCACATGTAAGTATTCAATCAGGAATAAAAAATACCCAAATAAATGCAAATCAATCATCTTTGGTTAATACAACTGATCCAATACATGATCATCAACGTTCATTAAAAACAACTCATCAAAGTACTTCAGAACATGGAGTAGAAACAATTAAACATGGTATACATGTTGAATTTCGATTATCAACACAACTTCTTAAACAAGTACAGAAAATACAAATACATGAACAAAAATGTAATTGAATTTATTATATTTTAAAAAATCTAATTTATTTATTTTATTATTAGTTGTTCTATTCGATGTACCAAAACAAGGAACTGATTTTGATCAAGAATTAATAAATTTAACACAAAATAAATGTAAACGTTTATTAGCGGAAACAAAACAAAAAATGTTTGTTATTTTTAATTTATTATTTTGATTTTATTTCTGTTTATATTTATAGACTTGCAACAAATAACCAAATTGATATTAAACATCCAAAAATTTGTCAAGTTTGGTTTTATGATGATAATCCATTAAATCGAAATAAAAATAATTTATTATTAATAAATGAATTTAGTCGTTAGTTATTTTATTATTTTGAAAAGAATTTTGATTTTAGCGCTCTTTTATAGGACGACAAAAATCGAAATTTATACTCTCAGTTTTACGACATGAAATTCCACAAAAATATAATATTAATATTGATATACCTGAAACGAAACGTAAATGTTACATTGAATTAATAGATGGCTCAACTCAAATATAGTAAATTTTAATAAATTTTGTTTTTTTTAAATACCATATCGATTAATTATAGTTATCCATCTGGCCGTTTGGCTGTTTTACGACTTCGATCGCCATTCTCAACAACGCTCTTTTACGATGATACTGGAATAACAGCAAAACAATTTCTTGGTCTTGTTACATCAACTGGTAATATCGTTATAATGCAGCCAACATTTCATGCTCGTTTTATAACAAATAATCAACATGAATCAGCTTATTTATGTAATGGAAAAACAGGTGTTATTGAAAAACAATTTCAATCACATTTCAAAACTAAAGGTCGAAGACAATCAATTCCTATTGATGAAAATGATACGAATTTGACACTACTTGAAAATACAGTTCAAATCCAATTAAATTCATTTATGCAACTTGAATATAATAATCCAACGAATATACGTTTTGCATTTACATGTCATAATGAAGAATTTAAATTTCAATTAGGAGCTCAAATATCAACAACACCAACACCGACATTATCAGATACACCAACACCCATACCTACAACAAAAAAATTCTTAGGAGATAATAAAAGTCAAAGAAAAAGAACAATTTCAACAAATACAAATATTTCCGAGAAACATCAACAAGGACATTCTCAAAAACAAATTGATGAACAACTTGATACACGTTATTTATTATTTATGAAAGAATTAAATCTATTAAAAGAACGTTTTAAAAACATTTGCGATACTTGGCTTAAAGAATATCGAACAGTATTAGGTAGATTTTTCAACATCGAATAAACTAATTGTGTAATTTTTATTTTTAAGGTATTATGGATATTGATGCTTATTGTTTTTCTGATATTTCATCAACAGTATCACAACCTATCGATGATATAAATCAAAATCAAAATGTTAAACAATTTGAACATGTACCAATATTAACAAAACGAACTACATTTAATATAGAACCTATGAAAAATTCAGCAAAAACATCCGAAGGTATAAATTTCTTTTTTTTTCTAATATTTTTAAAAACAAAAATAACTTCTTCTTCTAGTGAATATTATAACAAATTCAATTGAACAATTCATACCTCATTCTGATGTTGGTCGAGCAATAAAACAACGGATTTATTCTGAGAAAAAAATTCTAACAAATATTTTACCAGCTATTAAATAAATAATCAAGAGAATAAATTCATTTTCAACCATCATCATCATCATCGTATCAATGTTATAATGATTAACTAAACAAAAAGAAAATACATCTATTATTTTGATTCAATTTCAAATACATCTATATCGATTATGAAAAAACGTTGGAGACATTAATATATGACTATATTAACACTACTTTCTCTATTATATTTACCATTGAAATGTTGGATTCTTTTGTTTTTCTAATTTTCTCTTATGTTTTGTTTAAGTTTTCTTCATTCTAATCTTCTAATAAAGTGATGGAATCCAACTGGAGTTGAAAGACGGAAATGATCGATCGATTGATGATGAGAAATATGGATAAAAAACGAGAGAACATTAACACATCACTGTATATGTGACATACACGTGCCATCCTACTAAAAAGTCAATTATGATATTGAATGAGTAATGCATAAATCACATCGATATAGAGAAAAAGATGATTTTGTTTATATTCCAATTAGCTGAACGATGATCACAAATGCTTTTTTAAACACATTTCGACCTACTGGAAAATGTCAATTTGTTGATATGTTGAATGTGATAAAGATACATTATAGAAACAATCTCCTCCTTCGACTAATCGAATGGTTAAGGTCGACTGAGAGGGCATTAAAAAACAACAATATACCAAGGCTGTCTTCTTCTTTCTCTTCGACTATTACAAGATAGAAGAGGAAGAAGAGGAAACAACAAAAAAAAGATGAGCAATTATTTCGTTGATTTATTCCATATATATATATATATAGAATAATCCAATAAGAGTAAAGAGAATAGAACCAATGAAAAAAACGATCATGTTTATATTCCATTTCTTTTCTTTTACACTATTATCGTCTTTATATAGCCTTCGTGATAACACGAGAATAATACCATAACGACATACAACAACGAAGACAAAAAACATCTGGTAAGCTTCAAATATTTTTTACTACGAAGAAAAGATATGTTACTCAGATCGAGGAGAAATATTTCTTTTACGATTTTACTTAATAATGAAAAGATAAAATTCTTCAAGAAAATAATTTCATAGAGAAATTAAAAAGGATAATCTAATTATTCGGATAAACAATAAAAATTAGATTGTTTATTTTACTTACAGATAGCTCTTACTATTTAACTAAGTTAAACAGTCCAATTGCATTTTTAATACTGTAAAGTATGGTTTTTATATTTGTGAATATCTTTGGATAATAATTTCATAACTGAATTTTTAAAATAATGTTCTGCAAATCAAGACATTTCGGATTCATTCGATAGTTTATATTGATAAACTATGAATATTTCAGTTTTGATTATTCAATCTCAAATAAGAATATTTATCAGTTCCGTTAGTAGTAAATTTCGAAAGTTCTTGTTTATTAGAGTTCGGTTGCCAATATGAAATATTACATTAGAAAAGTATATAAATAATGATATAATCTCTTCTCAAATGGAAACTAGATGATTTCTATAATCAGACAGTTAATAGTCATAGCTTTGAAAGATTGGATATTATTGGACCAGCTGGAATGTAATATGTTAAATTTCTAACGGCAAAATTTTGATTATGCCTGTAGTATTCAATTGTAGAATATTCTATTATAAAATCTAAAAATGAGAAAGTATATAATTAGTATTAAATAGAACTAATCGAAAGATTGATTTCAATTGTGTAAAGTTGTAATTTCATATAAAAGAACATATGTTCGATAATGTTTATTATTCTTTTTATTTTCCTAATAAGAAGGAAAAGAAGAAAGTGTTATTTATAAAGTTTTATGATCAAATCATCACACAGCATGTGTAAATATGTATGTGTCTTTTAAAGTAATGTAAGTATGGATTGCTCAAAGCAAGAAAACATACTAATCCATTATCTGTCAGAAAGTGATTACGAGAATGAAAGATGACAAGACAATGATAAAGTCGATAGAAGAGAGAGAGAGAGAGAGCGCGAGAAGAAAAAATGCGTTTGCTTCCGGTTAACTGTATACATAAACATTACAAAGACAGAAACCAATCAGAAACAAATGAGATTTTCTCTCATTTTTTTTTATTTCAGTTTTTCTTCTTTATATTCTATTAAATGGGACGTAAACGTTTATCAAGCAGTGATTCAACTACAACGATAACAAGTAATTCTCCTAATAAATTAAATAATTCATCAGGCGGTGGAATGCAACAAAGAAATGCTGCTAATGCTCGTGAACGTGCTCGAATGCGTGTATTAAGTAAAGCATTTATTAAACTAAAAACTCATCTACCATGGGTTTGTATTTATTCTATTTAAAATTATTTTCTCAACAAAAAACAATTTGTCTAATATAGGTTCCACATGATACAAAATTATCAAAACTTGATACACTTCGTTTAGCTACAAGTTATATTCTTCATTTAACACAAATATTAGATAATGATGAACTACCAATACAACAAATAACAACAACACCACCAACTACAACATCACTTTCAATTCAAGCACCAAATAATTTTGTTAGTCAATTGAAACAATGATTTTTTTTTAAGAAATAAATATTATCTTTTTTTTTGTGTGTGTATAGAGTTGGCCATATTCATCTTGTCATCGAGCTTCATCATTATGTTCTATGAATAATCGATTATCTGCATCATCGAATATAAATAATAATTGTTACTCGAATCATGAATATGAATATCAAATTCAATCTGAACATCTTAATGATCATCAAGAGAATATTATTGAAGAAAAACCTCGTTTATGTTAAGAAATAAAAGAATTTCGAAAGAATTTATTTATAAGATCTTAAATAAAATAGACCAGCAATAATTGTGATATGATTTTGTATATTTAGTTTTGTTTGCTGTGCTGTGTACTTAGATATTCATCTTTTCTTTTTCTTTTTTTTCTTCACAATTTTAAATTAAAAATATTATATTAATGTAAACATCTGTATTTGTACGCAATTTTGTATCATATACAAATTTCTTTTACTAATATCAACTGAAAGAATCTAGCGGGTGGGCTTCGGTCACTACAAATCTGGATAAAACTAAGAAATGGTTTTAATACTTATGTTTCCTTTATTTTTATTATATAATGTAAGTTTAGCACTTAAATTGTATTTAATGTTCTTTAAAAATAAATAATATAGATACTTGAGATGATGATTGTTTTTTTCAAAAACATTCATAATTGATTGTTTGGGCGTAACTCAGCAAAATATGTACTTTGAATAATTGTTGATTTAAGAAGACATAAAATTTTGTAATAACTTTTCGAAATTTTATTCATTCATAACTTAGGTAAACGTCACTATACTTTAGTTTATTAAATGCATTGCTTGAAATGAATAGATAACTAATTTATTTATTGTGACAAAAAATCCTGAAAATTGTTCACGGGTAAAATATTGCAGCTAAAGCATGAATTGTATCATATGATCATCATAGAAAAATTCTTTCATTTATTTTTTTTAAGTAACAATAGATTGAAATATTTTTTTGAAAAAAATGGGAAATGTTTTGCTTGATTCTAGTAGCCATATCAAAATAAAAGATGAATGAGTATTTTCTGACTACTACTAATAAGATATTTCACTCATCGAAACAGAGTTTCCTACCTCATTGTTTCTAAAGAAAACGTGAAATACATAAGTTTTTGTAGTATTTCGATGGGAAATCGAGTTTTTTGAAACTGTCTTGCTACAACTGTAAGGGAAATAATTCAAGAAATCTTTTTATGGGTGAAAGCCGTAGTTCCTCATCTTGTTTATATCAAAAGTTAATCAAAAAATATCTAATCACCTTTTGTTTTAAAATAGTCAGTGGATATGATTGATGTTAATATTAGATATTTCTATATCTGGTAAGTCAGTATGAAAGACAAGTTGAATTGTTAATTGAAATAATAAAATGTATGTCATAGTTGTTGATTTTTATAAAGACTACGTTATTTGTTGACCAATTTCATAAGAATGTAAAAAAATGAAGGTGTGTTGTTTGGATAAAAGCATACTCTGATTTTTTTTTATTGTCCAGGTAAAGTTATAAAACATTTACTTAGTAAGGCTCCATCGTTGTTACTTATTACAAAGTTTATAAGACATTGCTTTAAAGGTAACCAAGATTCGAATCGACTGATTAAATCAAAATATAGGATGTACAAACTATGACAAAAAAAAATACGTTTGGTCAAAGTACCTTGATCAAATTAAGAATTTTATGATTTTTTATACTAATTGTGAAATAAATGAAGTACATCAATATAAAAATGCCTATGATAAAATTGACCTACTTTGTTAAAGTATAAAAAAGAAAAAGAAAATTTGATCGACAAATTCAGATCTACAATTAAAAGTTACAAATAAATATTACTTATTTGAAAGTTCAGTTTCAAGATTTTAGATACTGAATTATGATTGTTCATTCTTATAGAAATTCTCAATTTCTTAATAACATATCTTTAAATAATTAATTCTATGTACGTATTATGAAAATAATTTTGTGAATGATTACATTATGAATTTATATTAGTATTTTGTCTATTGAATTGGTACTTCAAATACGTTGGCATTTAAATTGATCAAATAATTTTATTTTGTAATGAAAATACCCTTAAAAGCATTTTTTTCCTATTTAAAAGGTATAGTCTTATCAGTTCACTAATAAAGCCCAACAAATCATCATATAACTTATTTAAAATGTTATCTTTAACATTCCACTCCTTTTACAAACAACATTTATTGTTGCACTACGATTGTTTTTCTTTCAGTCTGTCAAATAAACGCAATAGAAATGTTTATTATAGAAAGTATATTATGTGTCTCTTAAGAAAAAAAATATTCAAAATCGAATAAAAATCACTCTACTTTTGCGTACCAATAAATAGAGCAGTATGTAAAAAGATCATCATTCATTTCGATATTTTTACTAATAAAAATATTTCAATGGCATCGATTGAATCAGAAAATATAGTAAGCCATTCATTATTCTATAATAATTTCAATAAAAATGAACTAAATATATAATAGAGTTCTCGTGTATCAGCAAGACATGTTAAAGTGAATGTACGAGAGCTTCGAGTTGTTAGATCAAAACAAAGAAGAACGTAAGACATCTCTTTTCTATAAATATATTTTGATTAAATATTATTTTTCATCAATCATTTAAGATTTTGGACAAAAAGGAGACGTTGGATTGCTGTAGCTGTTGTTGGTTCTTGCACTTTAGGAATATTACTGGCTGCATCTGTATTAATAGGAACTTCAGTTAATAAACAATCTGATGCAGTTACTCAAGGTAAATTTTTTCATCAAATGAATATTGTCACAGATTTAAGATAGTGCAAAAATTAAATCAGAATTTTTCAAAAATTTTCAGTAATCAACACTAGATAATGTATACTTTTAGTTGATATTGTCATTGGTATATACATCAATTGAAGCCATATTTGTAGTATTACTAAGGTTTCTACTTCATAGATGCCTCAGATGAAAGTTTATGAGTTCAAGTATTTTTTCTATCTGATTGATATCTTTTGTTGGTGGTAGCTTCAGTCGACTTGATATGGTTTCATTTCCAATCTTTGCTTTTAGTAGTACTAATCTCTCATCGGTATTTTGAAAGAAACTTTGATACCAAATTCAATGCCAAGATTATTCTTACTTATATTGTTTAAATATAATTCTCATCTTAACTCTTGTACTTTTTGATACTTTAAAATCTGCCAATAGTATGAATGTAGCACTTATGTAGAGTGATTGTTATTAAAGAGCAAGAGTTCCATAAATATCTATCTTATTATACATAATACAACAAACAAATATTGTTTTAACCATCCGATAAATACTTTCATGTTACGAGCTTAGAAGTTCATAAGGGGAAAATATTCGCTAAACTTCTAACTATGAAGAATTATTTGTGTTTTTATCAAAATTTGCTGTTCCTAATGATTTGGAGCAGCTATATTTTAATATATAGATATTTATCATTACCTATATTAAACTAAATAAACAAACGAATTGATTGACGAAATTTAACTTACTGTCGTAGTTATTTATTCTATTAGTAAATATAAGTTAGAGCTAGTTCTCGATGCGTAATCAATTATTTAACTTGACTTTTAAGAAAGAATTGTTTTTGTATTAGCACAAACTGTAACAACTACAACAGCTACCACAACGACGACAACCACAACAAGCACTACATCAACTTCAACTTGTAAACTATCTCATATCTTCACTTATTTTTTATTATTTTCTTTTCTTACTTTTTCCGTCTAGCAACAAGTTCAACATCCACATCAACTTCGTCAACTTCCACAAGTTCAACATCAACATCAACTTCCACAAGCTCAACATCCACATCAACCTCATCAACTTCGTCAACTTCTACGAGTTCAACGTCCACGTCAACCTCATCAACTTCCACAAGTTCAACATCAACATCAACCTCATCGACTTCGACAAGCTCAACATCGACATCAACCTCATCAACTTCCACGAGTTCAACGTCCACATCAACTTCGTCATCTTCGACGAGCTCAACATCAACATCAACCTCGTCAACTTCCACAAGCTCAACATCCACATCAACTTCATCAACTTCCACAAGTTCAACATCAACATCAACCTCCACATCAACATCAACTTCAACTTCCACAAGCTCAACATCCACGTCAAC